GTGATATGGTGTTAGATGTATGGCATATGAGTAAATGCATATGTTTAATTGTTGAATGCATTTTTATGTGTGAATTATGTAAATGCTTGTATTATGATAATAGGTCATGTGATCATGAAATATATGATAAAATATATATGAAAATAATATGACTCATATGTGCTTCTATTAGAATGTTATATGATATTAGTATAATAAGATAGATTAGATATTGATAATAAGACATAAGATTATATGCATATGTAATATATGTTAAAAGATAAGAAATAATATGTTATATGTATATGAGAAAAAGGTATATGTGATGTGATCATGTGTGAAAAGGATGAATAATGTGAATTTCATGGAAAATGCTACGTGAAAGTAAACTACATACTATGTGATCATATGAAATGTGATAAAGAGCTATGTGAAAGAACTATGTGATATGAATATGTGAATGTGTAATGAGGTAAAAAGATAATGCCCATGTCATGTGTTATGAGAGCTATAGGTATAGTTGGCATGCCAAGAGTTGAGGGTCTACGCGGTTCTTCGGGATATATGTGTTATATGTGGTCCTTCGGGACATCTACATGGTCCTTTGGGAAAAATTCTACGCGCCCCTAGTGGGATTTATACGAGCTATGGTGACAGCATAGTGCACAACCTCTATGTACTCACGTACCTTAAGTTCTCAATAGTGTGTATGGGCTTTGAAAAGAAACCATAATTTAATATAACGATATGTATAAGTGACAAGTTAGGATTATATGATAATAAGGGTAACAAGTGTATATGGTAATAGTGATATGAGATGTGATATGGTTATGTATGATATGATCATAGTAATTATCCATGTATTGTTGTGTTTGAAGTTATATTATATGTTTATGTTCAATATATGCTCATTTGATGGAATTGAATCAATGATAAGGAAATAAGTAAGGATAAACCGGTAAGTGATGGGTTTAATAGGTATATAAGTATAATATGTGTTATATGGGATGTTCATGCATTTGTTAGTTTACTTTATGTATTTACATGTCTCACTAAGTCTATGACTTAGCGTGTAAATGTTTTACACGTAAGTGTGGATAAGTCAGAAGATCAAGTTTCAGATCCGTAGAGCAACATACCTCTGCGCAAAGTTCAGATCAGAAATATTTTGTAAAGTATGTCTTGTCATATAATTTAGTATGTTGACATGTAACTAAGTCATGATATATATGTACGCTCTGATGGAGTCAGTTAAGGTTTTAAATATGTTTATGTAAAAGAATTACTTTATAGAATAAAAGTTTTAAATTTTCTATGGTTTTTATAAAAGTATATACTTTGACTGGTCAATGTGACATCTCGGACTCGTATCCGAGTCGGGTACGGGTTGGGGGTGTTACAGTTTTCAACTAAAGTAAAGAGTTTTACTTGTAGTTAGACTAGGAGTAGGCATGAGATGTAAGGGGACTTCACTATAAAATGAGGTCTCCCCACATTCATTGAATATAGAAAGTTTTGTGTGAATAAACTCAAGCATTCGTGCCAAAAATTTCTCCACACATGCTTACATACGTTTTTTTTTATGTTTTTCCATTATTCTTATCATTATAGCAATATTAATCGAGGAGTTTAGGTTGACTTAGACACCGAGAAACTGAGTGAGGCATCCAAGGGTCACACGAACCAGCTAGCCGACATTCTAGCCACGTGTCAAGTGGTATCAGAGCTAGGTTTGTGACTAGACGTGATGGCTTCACAACGTGGTGAGACAGCAATATCCGAGGGCGTCGAGACTCGCAACGCACAGAAAAAGTAAGGAATATCGAAGGGCATGCTCGTATCGCTCCAAGGTAAGATCAACAGACTTGAGGACTCTGTGAGAGAGACCAATGAGGTTTTGGATCTGTTACAATCCATCAATCTTGAGAAACTGAGATCACTAGATCTCGAGAAGCTTGAAGCTTTGGAGAACATCCATGAGGATGTGCAAGCGACACTCAACGGATTAGATGCGAAGAGTTCCCAACAAGATGATGTTTTAGAAGCCCAAATCATAACCTTAACACAAGAGATCGAAGAACTTAAAAACCAGGGTTCTGGAACTGGGATTGAAAACCTAAAGAATGAGATCGAACAGCTTAAGACCGAGGTGGCCTTGTACAAGTCTCTCGTGGCTGGCAGCATGCTAACCAGCACCCCCAAAGGCCAGGCTGAAGTCCCTAAACTAAAAAAGTTTAAAGGGACTAGGTCGGCCAAAGACGTTGAAATTTTTTTGTGGAACATGGATCAATACTTTCGAGCCATGGGCATCGAGAATGATATTGAGAAAGTAAACATAACATTACTTCTATTTACTTAACTGATTTAGCACTCTTATGGTGGCGACGTAAATGCATCGAGATGAAACGAGATGACACCATCATTGGAACCTGGGCAGAATTCCAAGGTGAGTTTAAAGAGCAATTTTACCCTTATCATGCTGAGAACGAGGCACGATCAAGGCGTCTTAAGCAAGAAGGCTCTCTAAGGGAGAACGTTCGACAATTTGTCAAGTTAAGCCTACAAGTCTCGAGTCTAACCGAAGAGGACGGGTTCTTCACTTTTATGGACGAATTAAAGCCATGGGCCAAAATGAGTTGGAAAGAAATGGTGTTAAAGAATTGTCTAAAGCATTAAAAACCGCTGAATCCCTCATCAAACTTGGAGTTAAGAAACCCAAGCCTCCCAAATCAAAAGTCGAGAGTCCTAGTAAGAGAAACCAAGATAAAGGCCAAGAACAAAGCCTATCAAGTGATGATAAAGAGTCCATAAAAGGCAGAATATATCGATTCAACAACTCAAAAGAGAATGGGGCATCCAATCGATCTGATGTTTCAATTGCCATGAGCAAGGACATTTTGCAAGAGATTGCCCCACACTGAAAAACTCGCAACCGTTTTCGAATAAGACGATAATTCAGAGAAAGAAATATGTAAACTTAGCTTAATTACAAGTGTTAAGCCAAGGGTAAATTCGAAGCGACAAAAAGATCACCGAGGGAAAGGACCACAAAGGGTACAAAATTACCCACTCTAAGTCACACATCAAAGCCAAAAGCAAGGGTTAATGTACGTGAACATCAATCTTGCCGAACAATCTGAAGTTATCCTCGTGGATACCGAGGCAACCGATTTATTCATATAAAAAAGGGTCACCGACGATCTTGGACTCAAAATTGAACCATCAAATGGAGCAATCAAGGCCATCAACACTGAAAAAGTTCTAATCGTTAGAATAGCACGGAAGGTAGAATTGAAGATTGGATGATGGAAGGACAACGTAGGCTTCATAATAATCCCCATGGATGACTTTGATTTTGTCATCGGGTTGAACTTTCTTATCCATATCAAAGCTTCTCTCATTCCCTATGCAAATGTCATGAGATTCATGGATTCCCGATGGCAAGGTAGTGTCTCGTTGATACAAAGTGATCAAGAAGAGACCAAGACCTTAACAGTTAATCAACATGTCAAGAATGCTCCAAAAAAATGTGAACACCACCTTAGGAACTACTTTTAAAAGCATAAAGCAAACATAGTGAAGAGGGCGTCGCTAGAACAAATAGGGGAGAATGTCACGGGCCGCAAATTTATGGGCGAGGTTAGCCCACAAATGGCTACCTATGGGGCCACAACCAACACAAAGCAGACTGCTCCCACTGTGGTGCCGAGACTAACACCCACCAGGGTACGACAAAATCCGCCTAGGCGGTCCACAAGGGCCACGTTAAGACCAAGGTACACATAGCACCGAATAGAGTCAAGACGCGTCCGCCTCAAACTATCCACAAGCACAACCATCAAACAGCAAGGGTCACCTAGGGTCATGACCACCGCACACCAAGGTACACCTAGAGCCTAGGTCAACGCACGGCAAGGTTGACTGAGGGCTCTAGCAAACAAGTAACGGGACGCACTCGAGGTCGGGGCCAACGCACACCAGGTGTGTGCCTAAAAGTGAGATGAACACACAAAGGGGACCACTTGGGGGCGAAGACAGCACATATCGTGGGCATAATGGGTCGAGGCCTGCGTACACCAAGGGTGCACTGAGGGCCGAGGCTAGTATCGACTTAGGGCCTGTCCACCTAGCAAGGCCGGCCATGACTTGGAAAATAAAGCCAAGTAGCATAGTCCTTGTTTGAATAGGACTCAAATATTAGAGTTTTCAACTAAAGTAAAGAGTTTTACTTGTAGTTAGACTAGGAGTAGTCATGAGATATAAGGGGACTTCACTATAAAATGAGGCCTCCCCACCTCCATTGGATATAGAGAGTTTTGTGTGAATAAACTCAGGCATTCGTGCCAAAAATTTCCCCACACACGCTTACTTACTTTTTTTAATGCTTTTCCATCGTGCTTATCGTTATAACAACATTAATCGAGGAGTTTAGGCTGACTAAGACGTCGAGCAACCGAGCGAGGCATCTAAGGGCCGCACGGACCAGCTAGCCGACAGTTTAGCCCCGTGTCAGAAGCATGTCAATAGACCTAAAAGGAAGGGCATGTCAGTAGACCTAAAAGGTATGATAACAAAATTACCCCTAATATTTTCACAAATAGTTAATTTGGTTCTATTTTTTAAGTATTTTAATTTTTAACATTTTAATTTATGGTCAAAATACCTTTGTTGGAAGAAAATCATTAGTTAACTGACGGTCGATGCATGTTATTGATGTGTCATTTTCACATGTGTTTAATTACTAATGTAGCATGTTATTATTATTTTAAGAATGTCATGGTATTACCTTATGGTGACACATCAACAGTAGCTTTAATTTTTTAATGATGGGTGACCAAAGTGAAATTGAAACTAAATATTTGGTATGATTTTGAAGAAAAAATAGTTTAGTGACTCAAAAAAACAAAGTAATAGTTGAAGTACTAAACTTGTTTTTTACCCAAAAATATATTTCTCACGCAATGAGAAAAATATAGTTTGAAACTGCGGTCACCCACCCTAAATATAAACAAACATCGAAACGTCCCAAGAGGTGGAGCTCTCTCTCCGTCTCTCCCGCTGTTGCCAAGGCACGATCTTCCATTGACTTATCAAGAGAAAACAACGAAGCCACTGGTTTCCTCGCCCGAAGAGATTTTCCCTCGATTTCTCGTACTTGCTCTTTCCTCTTATTTTGCTCGTTAACTTCCCGATTTACCTCGTCCGAGAAAAAGAAAAAAAAGCTGCCTGAACCGGTGAATTTTACAAAAGAAATATTTAGATCTGAATATTCGAGCATGTCGAAGTCTCTTCCTTATTCTATGAAAGATGTTCACTACGATAACGCCAAGTTTCGTCACCGTTCTTTCTTCAAGGTATTATTATCTCCTTCGCTTTCTGTGTTCCTGGATTTGATTCTTAATTAATCATTTTCTTTCTTTTCGCATTCGTTTCTTTAACATTTGATTTCTTGAATTGCAACTTTCGATTTCTTTCTTTTTCTTGTGATGTTGAATTGCAATTTGCTCCTTTTAAGTTCAAGTTGCTTTAGTTGAAGTTCATGACAAATTATTCTCTTTTATTCGTGGATTTGTATGTCGATGTAATATTACCACGAACGCGATTATATGTAGTTAAGCAATCATTGTGAAAGGTAAGAAACGGAAAAGATTAGTGACGCTATAAGAGCGCTGAAGATAAAAGAAATCCAAATCATTTGTTAAATCTTACTGCATCTAATTTGAAGTCATATTGATCTTGATAGGTACACAGCTCGTCGAGCTTAAAAAATTAGCTGTTTGGTTTGAGTAATGTGGTTTTGAACTTTTGTGTGATATCTGATTTTCGTTTGGTGTTTGTAGCGTACTAATTGTTAGTCATAGTTGGCCTTAAATACTGAGAGTCCATTTTCTAAATTTCCTGATTGCCCATGCTGGGAAAAATTGACTAAATTTAAAACATGATTGCTAAAGATTTGAAAGTTGTAGCTTGTTTACGTCATTTTTAAAGTATTATGCTGTATTTAGAACTCTTATTTGCCATGCTAAACATTTTATGTAAGGTAGATGTTTGATTTGAATATATTCTCTATTCTTCTATGTTCTATTCCAGGTGGTCACTCAAACCTTACTTTCCGGTAATAGTAGGCGTGAATGCGTAAGTTGTAGCACAGGGAAGTTTTTAGGGTTACTAATGATCTTTGGCTTAGCTTGTCTAATGTTGACTCATACAAATAAAACACATTCTGTTTCTGATGGACTAGCAAAAGGTATTGGGACAAATGAAGAACATAAGGAAGTTACTGATGTTGGTATCAGGTTTAAAAAACTTTTCCGAAGAGCACCGCGACTTCCTCCTCGATTATCGCCAGATGAAAAAGTTAGCCATGGTAATATTACTGGTAAATTAAATGAGCCTGATGTTGAAGAAAAGTGGAAAGCTAGACAACAAAATGTAAAGGATGCTTTCACCCATGCTTGGTCCGGCTATAAGAAGTTTGCAATGGGTTATGACGAGCTTAAGCCAGTGAGCCAGGATGGAGTAGATGAGCTAGGAGGTATAGGTGCTACAGTTGTAGATGCTCTTGATACTGCAATGATCATGGGTCTAGATGAAGTTGTTTCTGAAGCGGGCTCATGGATTGAATCACACCTTTTAGAAAGGATTATTAACAAAGGGCAAGTTAATTTATTTGAAACCACAATACGGGTATTGGGTGGTCTATTGAGTGCATTTCATTTGAGTGGGGGGGACCAAGGCATAGCCTTAACACAGAAGGAGCCAAAACCTGCTATTTATCTAAACATTGCAAAAAACTTGGCTGATCGTCTGTTATCTGCTTTTACTTCCAGTCCAACTCCCATTCCTTTCAGTGATGTTGTGCTACGCGATCCCTCCGCTCATCCAGCTCCTGATGGATTGAGTAGTACTTCTGAAGTTTCCACTTTACAGCTTGAATTCAATTATCTGAGTGCAATTTCTGGTGATCCAAAGTATGGCACAAAAGGGATGAAGGTTTTAGAGCACTTGAAAACTCTTCCAAAGGTGGAAGGACTAGTTCCTATCTACATCAAGTATGTTTATTCTCTTCAAACATGACATCAATCCCCAGTTACTCCTACTTTAAATAGCTATATCCTTTTTTACGTCTTTCTAAGATTTTCTAGCATGTTGGGTTAGGTTAATGGATTTTTTTTTTATTTTTGCTTGGATAAACTGCTTTCAGGCATCACACATTAAAAAAATCGACTGCTTTCCTCTATATCATTGGAATTTGATCTCATGTTACCTTTCTTTGGATGGATAAAACATGCTGGACTGCTTTCAACAGTTGGCAGTCATCTTTTTTTAAAAAGGTTTTGCTCATCGGTTACCATGCCCAAACAAAATGCCTTCGTTTCTGAAATAATATATAATTTAGACTGGGAAAAACGCCATGAAGACAGAATTACTTAAAGACAGTAAGCACCATCGGGATTTTTTTAGGGAATACTTGAGTTTGTACTCAAATTGGCTGTCTTAACTCTTCTATTACTTCCACAAATTTGAACGACAAGAGCCTTTAAGATTGTTAAACTATAAATCTTACCTTTTCTTGTGTGGAATTATGTCAATTTCTTTGGACAAAATGATAGCCTGATGTCAATATGCTTTATCTACCACATATATTGTTTATTATACTTATCATCATTGTTGTGGTCATCATCATAATTATTTATTTATAGTTATCTGGTTCTGAGATCATAGTTCATCCTAGTATGAAATGCAGTCCTCTTTTTGTTGCGAGTCTTTGTCAATTTTCCCTTGATCATGTTGTTATGGAATGCAGTCCTCATTCTGGTGAATTTAGTGGACACAATATTAGACTTGGATCTCGGGGTGATAGCTACTATGAGTACCTAATCAAAGTGTGGCTTCAGCTAAGAACTACTCAGGATGGTAACTTCACATATCTTTATGATATGTATGGGGAAGCAATGAGGGGTGTTAAACACATGCTTGTTCAGAAATCAGTACCAAGTGAATTGGTTTTTGTGGGGGAATTACCTGTTGGATCCAACGGTTACTTGAGTCCGAAAATGGATCACCTGGTATGTAGTGCTTTCTCATTCATTGAATTTAAGCAATATCTGAATAAGTGGAGACTTTTAGTGCTCCTCCATTTAGATGATAGATTTTAAATTTCCCCTCATCCTGCTTTAGAAAAAGGTTAGTTTCTTTTTTGAGGATAAGCAGCCACATAATGTGTTTGTAGGACATCATATGTCTAGGTTCCTACATTTGAGAATGTCAGGACACTTTTATTCTTCTGTTCTTTGTTTTAATAAAAGGAGTTTGTATTTATCCAAAAAAAGAAGAAGAAAGGAGCGGGTAATATTGTTTTAAGAAAAATTGGATTTTAGTCTTCACATATCCAAGATTTAGAATTCATACTGAATGACCCCCCACTTTTTATCTTTACTCCTATCTCTCACGAGAATAGTCCAATGTCGCCCAATATATATTTGGGATTTACCACAGATATGTTAACGTAAGGAAAGTTTAGATTGTGAAAGTGTTTCTGTTAAGAATTGCATATATCTGATCTCCTTATATGCATGAACTGAAGCCCACACTTTCTTGGTTGGCTATTAGCTCGCACCTTAGAAACAGCAGTATTCTTTAGATCACTAGTTGTTACATTCCAAAACTATGATTCTTAATAATGCAAGGAAGCAACTACTGAGATTAAGAGTTCCACCAGAGTATTTCCAATAAATTACAGCTAGAGCTGATCGTGAAAGCTAGGCTGTTACTACTTGCTACTTACTAACATCTTCAAAGCAGTATACTTTAGAATCACAGGATGTTTCCTTTCTAAACTATAATGTAAAATAGTCCAAGGAAGCAGTTGGTGAGTGGAAGAGTTTCACCAGTGTTTCTAATCTATTATAGCTTTTAGTTCTCATTAGATGAATGCATAAACTTTATTTCTGTATTAATCATTGGTTGTCATGAAAGCATTTTTTTCTGTTGTTGGATCCCACGGAGCACCCTTGATTGATGTGAAAGTATTTTACTGTATACACCAGGTGTGTTTTTTGCCTGGTACTCTTGCACTTGGTGCCACTAAAGGCCTCACAAAGGAGAAAGCTATGAAAGACAACCTTCTTACATTTGAAGACCTGGAAAACTTGAAACTTGCAGAAGATTTAGCCAAGACATGTTTTGAGATGTATTCAGTAACTTCCACTGGTCTGGCTCCTGAAATTGTGTACTTCCATACTAAGGTTGTTTTCAGTTTACTTGTTTCTTGAAAGCAGTATAGGATGGACTTATTTTGCGTTTACACCAAATCATATTTTCTTATTTTCCTATGTATGACCACACTTCGTTTTGCTTATAGTGTAATTACGATAGTTCATGATCTGCTTTCTTGATCTGATTTGAACAGGATTATTTTGAAGATGGTCTTGATGGTGGGAATAAGAGTTCAAAATATGTAAAAGACATAATAATCAAACATGCTGATCGTCACAATTTGTTGCGTCCTGAAACTGTTGAGTCCTTGTTTGTGTTGTATCGAATCACTCAGGATCAAAAGTATGTTCTTTTCGTTTCTACTCTCTCTTCCATTTTATTTAGCTTACATCATCTATAGTGTGAATGTGTGCAACTTGTTCTTTCTTTCTTTTTTCTCCTTTCTAATATCTCACTTGTTGCAGATATCGAGAATGGGGTTGGCAGATCTTCGAGGCATTTGAGAAATACACAAAGGTAGAATCTGGAGGATACACTTCTTTAGATGATGTCACCACAATTCCTCCTCCTCCAAGAGACAAGATGGAGACGTTTTTCCTTGGTGAAACTTTGAAGTATTTGTACTTGCTTTTCGGGGATAGCTCTGTTATACCACTTGATAAATTTGTTTTTAACACAGAGGCTCATCCTTTACCGATCCCTTTAAAGAAAGGCACTAACATGAAGGCAAACATGTAAAAGCTTGACATCTCTCCGCCGGGCACAGTTTACACGGTGCTTTGACATGGTTTGCAAGTTCATAATTTTATGAAGGCTGTCTTGCTCGAGATCCCAGTTTATCTAAGCGTAAGCGGTGGCTTTACTTTACATGTGTTCAATGCATCAATGAACTGATGTGCTATATGACGCTCACATAGGTTTGTAATACTTGTTCTGATAGATATTTTTTGAGGTTATATGAAGATGGGGTTTTGCCCAACCAAAATACGAGTGAAATATGACCATTATGTAATTGACTTCTTTGATTTAAGATTTATAATTGCAATTGTGGCCCCAATTCAACTGATCCTGTTATATCATTGTTACCATTTCATTATCATTATCATTGCCTCAAGGTTACATGCCGTCTGCAGTGATTCAGTAACCGGGATGATTTTGTTTGTCATCATCAGTTCACATTATTACATTTTCATCCTCATTTTGAAGGAGAAACAGATCATCACCATCTCGAATGACATGTATATCATCAATTTCTGCATTCTCTGCATTAACGACTTTTGTAAATGCGATGCCTCCCAACTTTTCTCCTGCAGTTTAACTAGGTTATGGAATGAAAGATGAATTAAAGCAAAAGCAGGTAATTAATGTGGTTTCAGGTTCCTGTTCATGGTTTTAAAATCCTTTATATTTGTTTTGCTTTTCTTTCGTTTTATCAACTGGGATACCTCCCCCACACCCCACCACACACACACTTACCAGCTATTTTGAGCAGCTCTTTTATTGAATCAGGTAGGAGTATCAACTTTCCAAGTTGCCTACTTGATATACTGCTGCTCTTTAATTGCATGTGAATAGTAACTCTTTTCTTGGTCGTTATTATTAGCTCCCTATAACTGTGTGAATTGAAGAAATTTTGGGCTCCGATTCTACGCCTTTTTTTACCGTTCTTGAGATCATCTGCTGTTTTTGGCCCAATGATATCTATTCTATGTTCATCTAAATCCATTTTTATTGTTTCTCTCTTTGATGCACATCTCTCTGGTTGATCTTCAAATCCAGCGTTCAAACAACCAGGATCTATGGAGGGCCGGTCAAAGCTGCTGCTGTGTAGCCCGTTTAATTTCTGCAAGAAAATCCATCACTTCTTGTTCATAGTAACATCAAGATTTCCATCAATCCTGAAAGTTGTCTAATATGATGTTTACCTTGCAAAGGTTACGCATTATAACACTTCCATCTTCCGTATTGACCTTGATGATGTTCATTAGAGATGTTGCATTCATTCGTAGCATTTGACAAAGCTCAGTGGTCCTAGCTGTGTATGGCTGCGGCCTATAACATAGAACTCCAATCTCTCCAAGCATATCCCCTGCAGCCACCTTTTCCATAATCTGGTCATGTCCGTCATGTGAGATTAAAATCTGCAATCGTGAATCAACCGATCGCCAAACTAATGTCAGGAATCGGCATTGTGTAGTGTATATTATTCAGATATCAAAATAAGCCTACTTACAACTGCTCCCGAGACAAGTATATAGAGATCCGTTGGGGCTTCGTTCTTCAGAATGACATCTTCTTTGGGTGGGAAATACTCCGCATCCATATCCGAAACCTTTTGACAGAGTAGTAACTTGTATTAGCATCTTTGTGCAAATGAAATTCAAAGTGATGTATTATTTGCCTCAGAGAGAGGGTGATGTTACCAACTGAGATAGGAAGTCGTGAGAAACTCCTTGGAAGAGATAGGCTTCCTGCACAATGTGGAGGAAGAGATGCTGCGCGATACTCGACCGGATGGCTTTCGGTAAACTATTTAGGGTCAATTGTTGCTTCAGTCCTTCTGTTTTGAAGTGTAAACATATGTGTGACAACATTTGATCATGTATGTGAGGTGGCAACTGATTTCGTGTCGCAAATTCCGAAGCAGCTCTAATTGTATCCCTCTGTAGCACCAAAAAAGGTCAATGTTTCTCGTTAATTAGCACTTCCAGGCTAAAAAACGCTGTTGACTAATTTTTCATGCTCAAATCACTGCTCCTACAAATGATTGAGCATTTATTCTTGATTTATGATGTCATAGCTTTAAGCTGGTTTTTTTACCTTGAATTTTTCATACAAACATGTTCTAAAATAACGGGCATTTCTTCAGAAAATGGTGGGGTTGTTTCTAGTTTTGTTGATTGTGACGCATAATTTGTTATGGTCCCTTTAGAACATATTTTTAAATATTTAGTACCGGTAGCAGGCTAATGATGATTTCTAACAGCTTGAAAGTTACAAGGCTAACTTACAAAATTACGGGTTCGGCTTGTCCAGTGAACTACGAGGTTAGTCATGTTCCCGATGAGGTAAGCTGTTAATCCCAAATTAAAGAACATGTAAAAGATATAAAACAACATCTCTCTCGGATTCTCAGCATGCAAGTCACCGTAACCAGTTGTGGTGAGCGTTGTAATGGACCAGTAAATTGAAGTTACATATCTATCCCACAGACTGCGCTGTTTGAAATCTGGGTGCACTGCACCAATCCATGTTCTCGAAGGATCAGGGTATCTATCTGCAATCAGATAGTTAAAGCACCCAGCACAATGTACTGCAAACAGGGTCACCTGAAATCAACCCATCAAATGAATGAAAGCAATACTTCTGATAGAGGTGAGTTTCAATGGGGTTACCGAAATGAGCTTGGTGCACCGAGTCCAGAAGTAGTTGAACCGAATGTCTTTTTCAAGTCTGAAAGAGCGGAAACCAGTGAGTCAATATTGTAGTCCTCCCACAGTAACAGTTTTCAGGCATTAAGCTTTTTGAAGAAAAACGATTATAAACCTTGCAAACAGGGAGCTAACTCGTCTCAGACGCCAGAGTCTGAGCATGTTGAGTAGCCTGAGCCCGAGTTCACTGCCATGGTCTGTGAACATGAGGCTGAGAGGCTGAAATGGGACAGTGGAACAGACGTCTAAAGCGAACCAGGTCAATACGTACCTACATGTATTGTTCAAGAGGAACATTTTTGAGACAGAGAAAAGGCTTTGTGATCAAATGCTGAAGATCTTATTTACCTGATGGCAATCTTCTTGGGATCATCAACGAGGAGATAAGAGTGGCTATCGAGATATGCAACAAAGAAAGTGAGAACGATGTCAACAGCAAAGAATCCATTGACAATGTTATCAACAATATGAAGTGCATCGTTCTTGTACGATAGGAATGCAAACTCGAATGGACAAACCCAGGCAGAGTAAATGACTAGCACCACCAGCCATATCTCCCAAGTCCTGTAATAAGGAATAGGACCTTAAGACTAGCTTTAATATTTTCTAAGGAGTAAAACCATGTAAACGGATCATCACCTATAATGAGGGTTGAAAGGGGATATTATGTGTGCGCGTAGCTCTGTGGAATGGTTAATTCGGGCGCCAAGTGATGGAAGGAGATCACTAGAGAAGCAACTGCCATGAATATCACTGCCCATATGGAATTCATTGATACAGAACCGTTGGAAGAAGTTTTTCGTACTGGAAAACGACATCTTCTTGACTCGTTTACAAGGGAGGCTCTGGATTACAACTTCCGGGCAGTGTTAAAAAAGTCTCTAAAGGAATAGTTATATATTGAAAACTTGTGGTGACGATGAAGAGGGACACTGGGTTGATTTGCCTTTTATGATATCTATCTCTCACTCAATTTGCGCCTGACATGTTTAAAGTAGTGAATGAGCGAGCTTAAGCTGCTAATAGGTCACTAAGAAAGGAAAAGAAGTAGAAAAAAGGAAAAGGCAGAACTTCCCATCTTGTTTGTACAAGAATGATGAAGGTGGAACAAAAAAACCATTACAAGATGAAGGACAAAGTTGAGGGAAACGGAAAGAAGTGAAAGTGGCAGACATGAGCATAGATATTTTTACAGAGGGAGAGATATTGAATTGGAATGAGATGAAACAATGAAAGTGAATGGTGACTGTGGGATCTCCACCATGTGAAGGTGTGCACGACAAATCCACAATATTTACGACGGATTTGAGTGAAGAATCCGGAGATGGACCGGACACAGTCGTAGCAGAATTGGGGAGAGGATGCCCTTGTTTATGGATGCCACGTGTACCAATCAAATCACTTGTTACATGTATGCCAAGTTATATACACAAAAATGAAATTGGATTTGAATACTATTCCATCCTCTCCTGTTATCCTTGCTACTAATAGCTGAAATCTGTTTGTTTTAGCCATGGAATCAGTGAGGACCTTAGCTCTGAAAGATGTCATACGATCCTCCAACTGGCTACTCTCCCGGTCTCATGTATGTTCAGCGAACGCGTTATCATTACGTATTTTTCCTCCCTACACCGACCACTTGTTTATATTTGGTCAATGTCTGATCGTTTTTACAATTTTGCATCTTTGCTTATTACCCCTCTAAATTCTGCTATATATATATATATTCATCGGATAAAAAACATTTTTTATACTTCTTAACTAGGGTCATATTTATATTTATATACTCGTGACTTGTCTTTAATTTTAATGATTGCATTTGACGCCACTTCGTCATTTTCTCTTTACGTTTAAGCTCGTCTAGTGTCCAAATTTGATTAGCTAACTAAGAAATCTCATACCAGGAGAGAGAAGAAAACCCAAAAGGGGGGTTTTACTATAATAGTCCAAAACAAGCATTGTAGAGTCAGTAGGTCGGACGTGGATAGTACAAAACATGAAAAAAGTAAACATTTATGCAACATTGAAGACGTTAAGGAAGTTAGGGTCCCCAAGAGGCCCCCTCCACGGTGTCTGATATGCACAGTAAATGAAGTTGGCAGATCCAACCTTCCAATTAAAACCCGGTGGCCACTTGCCGAGATGGAACTTGAGCCCACCTCAGTTGCACCTTCCTCTCTGCTTTTGGATTGGGGTTTCCAATTATAGGTTAAATGCAGTGATATTGACCCTCTAATTTCCTCTATCGTAGCTCCATCTTAATCCACATTTGCAAGAATGGAAAATTTGTGAACCAGAAGTAGGATCGATGGTGCTTGTCGTTTAATGTGTTGTGTAAGTGTGTTTATATCTTTTTGGGTAACTTAGCACCTGCAATTTGTATCAGTGGTTTTGAGATTTTTATCAAAGTTTGTCATACTCACGTAAGAAACAACATGTTTGCTAGCAATTTTGTGTGGGTTAAAAGGCTAGTACAAAACATGTGAGTCCCCAGACTCACACCTTAATTTAAAATTGTTAAATATTTAAAAGATGATTTGAGTTCGAGTAATTATGTTTGTAGGGATATATATGTGTGTTAATTAGGGGTTAGTTAAACTTGATTCGACTTGAAATTTTGATTTTTTTTCAATTTCGAGTCAACTCGAATTATCAATTCGGTTTTCGAGTTCGAGTTGAAATTTTGAATTTTTGAGTTACTTGAAATAAAATTATGACTTAGGGGTGACTCGAAAATTCAAGTATTTTATTTTTTTAATTCATCCTTTATTTTAAGTCACAATAAAATACTTGTGCAACTTCAATTTTGACTTTTTTTTATTAAAAATATACTCTCTCTCTCTTTGTTTATTCTTTTACCTTTACATTTTACTCAACTTGGTCTTTTAACTTCAATTGTTTGCACATTATTTCTTCCCATCAATTCTTGAGTCCTTTATACTCTCACCAAAATTTTGCCCTCAAAATAATTTCTTTAAATAACATTATAATTTTAGATTGTACTGATATATTAAATAACATTATAATATGAATAATATATATATATATATATATATCTTATATGGTTAGAAAAGTCAAAAAATTGGAACAAAACCTTGTCATAATACTATAAATAATTATAATAAAATTAGTATAGAAACTCGAATAACTCGATTCGAATGAAAAAAGAATTCAAGTTAAGCTCGAGTTGTAAAATACGACTCGTCAACTTAAATTTTTTTGAATCAACTCAAATTGACCGAATGTTCACTCTTATTGTTAATGGTAACTTTTTGACAAGATATTGCCTTTGAATACCCTGAATTATTAAAATTGAATAAAGTATATTAATAAAAAAATGATATTTGACCCTTCAACTTTTATTCCGAGTTGTAAGGTCTTAATTTTATATGAGTTGAGATTAAATTAAAAATTATTGAGAAACGTTGATTACAATTTTGGGTCGAAATTAAAGACACCAAACGTCCTTGGCGTTAGTTAAACCGTTGCTTTCGCTTTAATGTTAGAGCTGATCAGCCTTTAACGTAATTTGTTTTTGGTTTGTTTGGGTATTTGCTTCTGCGCTGCTTCACATGCTTAAATGAAGTTATGAGAGACCGGGGGTAATGTGTTTGTTTGGTACATAACCCCTCAGGTAAATGAAAATATTATTTTCTCTAAAGTTTGTCAATTTGAACAATTACCTTTTTATATGATGTATGTTTTATTACTAAATTAAAAAATTTCTGAATATATACTTCCTAGGGGTGCTTAATGAGTTAAGCAACTTGTGAGCAGTTTGAACTCGACTCGGTCAAAACTCGATAAAAGCTCTACTTAGGTTGATTTGACTCGAGACCTTAACGAGTTGAGTCAAGCAAACTCCAACTCGACTTGATAAGTTCACGAGCAACTCGTTAATTGTTTTTTATAACTTTTTAGTTGTTATCTTAAAAACTTATTTTTTATTCAAAAAAAATTACTAATTTACTAATACATAATAAAAAGATGATAAATGATTAATCTATTATCTTTCTAATAAATAATAAAAAAATACTAAATTATAAATTAATAATTTATTAAACCCAGAGTATTATCATAAGATAAAAAAAATAGGGAGGTGAGATAAATGTAATATTTTAATGGCGTGAATGATTTATGTTTTTTAAAATGTAATATATTATTATTTAATAGTTGGGTTAACTACATAAAAAATCATTTACGTTTATATTTTATCCACTTTTGGTCACTGATTACAAAAAACATAAGATATAGTCACTTTCGTTTTTATTTAATTAAGATATAGTCACTTTCGTTTTTATTTAATTATGATGTGATCACCCCGAGTTAATTATCGTTAACATCAATTAAATATTTTGATAGAATCACATATTTGGTCTATGTTATTTACATATTCTCTCAATTTAGTCATACTTTTAATAAATTAAAATAAATTTAATCCTCCAATTGAATTTTTTACAACTCGGAGTTGACTTAGAATTTTTTTCGAGTCTACTCGAATCAAATTTTCAAGTTTCTGTTTAAATTTAATTATAAATATTTATAATATTATGATATTATTTTATTCCAATTTAAATGATCTTTTATAACGATATACAATACATCTGTATTTCTTCATATATTTTTTTCATATGTGATATACATTTACAAAAATCGAGAGACTCAACTCAACCTTAAAAATCGAGAGACTAATTACTAAAATTTTTGAGTTATTTGAGTTAACAACTTGGTTTGAACTTTAAAATTTTTTTCAAGTCGAGTCGGATTTATGAAGGTTAATTCTCCAACCGAACGGTGACACATGGCATTAGGAGTGAGTGAAATTTGGCTCGACTCAAAGACCCGATATTTTTTACTCGACTCTTGAAAACTTGACTCGAATTAACTTCGAGTTGTAATTTCATAAACCCGACTCGACTCGAAAAAATTTCAAGTTTGAGTCGAGTCTCTCGACTTTGTATCATAAATGTATATCATATATTAAAAAAATATGAAGAAATACACATGTATTGTATATGGTTATAAAAGATCATTTAAATTGGAATCAAATAATATCATAATATTATAAATATTCATAATTAAATCTAAACAGAAACTAGAAAATTTGATTCGACTCGAAAAAATTCTAAGTCAACTCCGAGTTGTAAAATGGGATTAAATTTATTTTAATGTATTAAAAGTATAACTAAATTGAGAGTATGTAAATGACGGGGATAATATATGTGATTATATCAAAATATTTAAGTGTTGTTAACGGCAATTAACTAGGGATGAACACATCTTAATTAAATAAAAACGAAAGTGATAATATCTTATGTTTTTTGAAATCAATAATCAAAAGTTGACAAAACATAAACGTAATTGATTTTTCATGTAGTTAACCCTTAATATTTCTATAATATTAATTATTTTTTATCATAATTATATTTTATTATCTTATTATGCCAAAATTATTGTCATTTCATTTGAGCCCAAAACATACGTCGTACTGTACGAAATTTTGTGGGCCCATTCCCACCCCCATTCGACCAACATACCCTATGCCCCCATGGAGCCATCATCCATTCCAAAGGATTTTTTTTTCTTTCCCGTCAATCAAATCTATGAATCTGAATGGCCAATCTCTTACTAGTTACTTTCCGAGTAGGATCCCAGCCTTTTAACAAAGCACACATCCAAAGTCAACCACATTTCCTTACACAAATTAACCCATGTCTGATGGCTGTTAATTAGTAACCCAAAAGCAAATATCATTTGATTAATTCATCAATCAGTGCATTCGATCTTTGTTCTATATTATCTTTTTAGGTCATAAATCTTCACTAAGATCACTCTTCTTTTTTTTTTCTCTCTTTTAGATAAGACTAGATTTAGAATTTATATATAAAAAAATCAAATGAAGTGATTGGTTAGAAATATATGGGTAGGATTATTCAGCGACAAATGAAGTGGCCGGTGAGAAAAGACGATTAGTTAACCGAATGAAGGACAAAAGAAGAAGAGCAATCAAATTGCAATCAATGATATCTCTGGCCATTGCCCTGAAGCAAAGGCTGGCTGCTGCTGATGGTCGCATTGGCATTCAAATGAATTGAAAAGATACAGCCATTGGCTGGCTTAGTAATTCCATACTTACAACATTTGCGTTTACCAGTCATCTCGTGTGATAGATCGATGTATAATATAACATTTTCACCACCATTCATGCATGCAATGTATAATTGATGGAGGAATGGCATTTTTTATACACTATTTTCAGCCTATCAAATGAATGGTCCGTCACATCATCGCTCTTTACTAAGCCCTAATCGTTCTTCTAACCTTAGCGTTTGCCCTATCTTACATCGCGGGGAAATGGCACGCTTGTTCCATTTTTTGCTCAATAAGATGAATTTTAACCGAACCATTAGGGTGTATTTGGTTCACGGAATGTAAGATTACCGTGTTTGGTTAAAAGAATAAAAGATTATTGGAATGTATATTTGACCAAATTGTCCTTATTATATATTTGTTTTTTAACGAGTTGGAAAATATTTATATATTTTCTTTAAAAAATTTAAATTCATAAAATTTATATAATTTTTTTACAAAATTGAAAATATAAAAAGGTTTAATGAAAGGATAAAATTTTATTTTAACCCCTGAACTTCATATAAAATTTTAATTAGACTTTTTTTTTTATAAATCTAAAATAGTTTAAGGATAAATTTGTAATTAACCTTCGTAGAATTTTTATTATTCAATGATAGAATAAGTATATTTTTTAAAGAAATTTTTTTAAGGGCATTTTAGTCCAAAAAGCCGATTATCCAACAATACCTAAGGAAAGGGAGGTAATGACATTCCCGGTAATATACCTCAAAAAATCCACTATTGGTAATGTAAGATTACTGGGAATGACATTCTCGGCCAACCAAACGGGGGAATGTGGATTCTATTCCCATGGGAAACTCACATTCCCCCAACAATGTAGGATTCCCATGGAATGGAATCCACATTCTCAAGTTTGGTTGGCCGGGAATCTCATTCCCGATAATGTTTTATTACCAATAGTAGATTTTTTTGGGTATATTACTGTGAATGTCATTACCTCCATTTCCTTAGGTCTTGTTAGATTATCGGCGTTTTGGCCTAAATTGCCCTTATTTTTTTTTCTTTCAAAAATATCATTCTTCTGTCATTGAATAATAAAAATTCTACGAATGTTAAATTACAAATTTATCCTTAAACTATTTTAGATTTACAAAAAAAAGTCTATAATTAAAATTTTATATGAAGTTCAGGGGTTAAAATAAAATTTTACCCTTTCATTAAACCTTTTTATATTTTTAATTTTGTAAAAAAATTATATAAATTTTATGAATTTAAATTTTTTAAAGAAAATATATAAATATTATATAAATATTTTTCAACTTGTTAAAAAAATAAATATATAATAAGGATAATTTTGTCAAATATACATTCCAATAATCTTTTATTCCTTTAACCAAACACGGTAATCTTACATTCCTGCTAAACCAACCAAACACAAAATACAACATTTTCAGTAATCATATTCTCTAGTAATCTTACATTCCCACTGAAAATCTTATATTCCGTAAACCAAACGCACCTTAAGGTTTTATTTACTTTTTGTGCACGTTGCATGTACGGACAACCCTTGAATTCATATGTCGTAATTATGGCGTTTGATGTGAAAGTAGTGGTATTGGGTGCTGCCTCCCGTGCTCTCTGAAACTGACAACAAAAGCATATGCGTAGTCTTGTCAAAGCATATATGTGATTAAGAGAGAAATACCAGAGATTCATAGATCATTACACTTCGGTAAGAGACTAGATAGATGACATAGGACATGATGCTGTCCCTTTAAGTTAACCAAGTTGAGTGGCAATTTTCTTCCTTTTTATCAAGCTTTTAGGCGGTGAATCCGTGTTTGCCCAGAGTTGGAACGAAGATGAATCAACAAATTTTGTGGATTTATGCCTTGAATTGATAACCTTCGATTGAATAGATATATCACACGGCCGTTGATGTAGCCGACAGACAGGATGTTTGTCACCTTCTATTTTCTTATATTGGTTTGATTTGTGGTGGGTAGGCAGGCATGCACCATGCTTATATTGTGTATCTCATTCGGCTCTCCACCACCACTTACCTCTTTACCTTCACCAGCCGGATCATATGGCCCTATTTCACATCAGAAAATGACCTTTCCGCATATTGGACGGTCGGGAATTGTGTTGCGTGATCTTGCGGAAGGGCAATTGTTTCCGTAATAAAGTTGGGAGTCAACTTACCGAGAAATCAGAATTAGGAGTGTAAATGAAAACAACATTTAATTAATTATTTGTAAATCACTATATTGTTTATTTATTACGTTAAATAAATAAGTATGAATAAATTTTTTATATTTATTTAATAAACAAATAAGCATAAATGGATGTATAATTGATTTGTTTATGTTCACGAACAAATTCGTTTGAAAGTTCATTTATTAACTCATTTATAAGCTCGTTTATCCAATTTTTATTTTCCTTTTTATTTTAGCCATTCTAAATATGGGTAAATGTAAGAACTAAATTGAATATTGGGTAAAATTTGAAGATAAAACTATAAAACCTAAGGACTACTGGCATAATTTCATTTTTTTAATTTTCATCAATTTCTAAACATATAAACCAACATGTTTACGAATTCTAAATTGAACCAAACATGAATGCATTAAAAAAGTTTAAACAAACACAAAGACAATATTAAAAATTTAAACAAACAAGAATCAAATATGAACACAAAATAAATAAAAGAGCACGAACACAATCTTATTTGTTTAAGCTCAGTTCATTTGTACCCAATTTAATATAAAAATAAGTGTTCAAACTATACTATTTTGATCATTTTGTTGCCTAAATTAATTTTAAATCAATCCAGGTGTATAACATTACAAACGTTGTCATTTTAAATGTCTCTATAATAATGGCCGTTAAAAAGTCCCGTTAAGTGACGTGTCACGTTCTGATAATTTTGAAGATTTTATTTTAAAAAAACTTAAAAATAAAAATATTATATTTAAAAAATATTTAAAAGCAACCCCTCCCTCCTAGGGGTGTTCATTTGGTCGGTTCAGTTAACCAACCGAACCGAACTGGCCAAAAATCATTAATCAATTTTTTTAACCGTTAACCGTTAACTGAACTGATTTTTTTTGAAAAATTTTTAATCGAACAAAGTTCGGTTAATTTGGTTAAAACAAAAATTTAAACACTCCTAAAACTAAGTAACATCTAAATAATATATTAAAAAAATTTCTTAATTCAATTAATTAACCGATTTCGAATCGAATTAACCGATAATTGAACTTTGAAAAAATTATTAATAGTTAACTGACCGAACATAAAATAAACCAAATTTTTTTAGTTCAGTCAGATTAATCAGTTTTAACCGATTAATGAATACTCCCTCCCCCTCCCTCCCATCCCCCATCCCCCAATGTGGGTCAATCGACGACAATGATGAAAAACGAAAGTGACAAGCGTGGGCATAGAGATTAGAATAAATGTTTTCAAAGTTCTGAGTTTTTTTAAAGATTTTCAAAAATTTTGAGGTTCTTAAAAAAGAAAATATATTTTAAAGTTTTTTATTTTAAATAAAATCATCAAAATTATCAGAACATGACATTTGTCATTTAACATAATTTTTTAATGACAGTTACGGTTGAGACACCTAAAATAATAACATTTGTAATATTATGCACCTAAATTAACTAAAAAAATAGTTTAAACACCTAAATAAAAAAACAATATAATTCAGACACTTATTTTATACTAAACCTTTTACGGTCCTAATCAAATTTTATATTTTTAGAGGAATATTAGCATAATAATGTATATAAAATTCTAGAGTTGCATAATTTGAATGGTTGCAAACTAGGTTGAGGCAAATAAGCATTTTCCCATCCTATCTGCAGATGATTGTTGGTCAATTTGTGTAACAGGAATCAATAGTAGTCGTATAATACTCTCTCTGTCTCATAATTTGTGTCTTCTATTCATTATGTATATAATTTTAAGGAGAAATATTTAACCAAGAAAAATAATAAGATTATTCTTAAAAGTTGATTGATAGATTTAACATATCTTTTGATATGTGTAAAAAGTGAGACATGTAAGGATGAAAAAGAAAATATAATTGTTGTTGTTTGTTAATTTTTTTAAGACATTTTGAATGAAAAAAAAATTAAAAACAAAAAAAAGACATATCTAGTAAGACATAGGGAGTGTAACTACCATAAAGGGCAGCTGATTATTCGATGAAAGTTCACTAAAGTTTACTTTTTTTTATTTTCTTTTTCCAATGTTATTACTATATCTTACATTCTATAACTTCAAAAGCCATCAAACTGTAAATCTAAGTGTTAATTAATTATCAGTTTTGCGACCAGTATTACAACTACGGTTCAAGAATACTGGATTAAAACTCCAACAGACGCTTGCAAGCACGATATAGAGCATTAAATATCAACCCACTAGAATGATGGTATTCATGTTGACAAACATATGAAGATGGCTAAGCCTTTGCTTTTCCTGCTTGATGAGATTGAATCCTCTGCTGCACCTTCAATATCTAGTAGACACAATGATCAAATTTAGGTTTTGCTTTTACTCAATATTAGTATTTATGAGGAGGCAAGTAAGCAACTACCATTAAAACGAAACAGCAAGATGCATACATGTACAAGGCAGTTTGTAAATGGCCATGGTATTAAAAGAAAAAACATAATTTGCTCTGTGATGTTAAACGCAAAAGTCTCACTGATGCAAAAGGCAAACCAACAAATATGTAAACAGCAGAGTGGCTTAAATGAACAAATTTAAATGAAACTGGACTCTGATGAATCATGCAAAGCCAACTAGTATTACAAGTAAGGACCTAAAAGAAGACAAATAGAGTATAAGCAAACTAGCACCCCACTGAAATTACTTACTTCAAGTACTCACTAAGAGTCTAAGACCGCCCCCACCCCCTAACCCCAAAAAAGAAAGAAAGAAGAAAAACAGTAAAATAAGGATTCAGTAGCAGGTAGAACCAAACAACCCTTGTTTAATGCTTTGAACCATATAAATAATCAATCATAGTCTCAGATGTCAAAATTTTAATTATTAATTTGCAATTCAGAAAAATGGTGTGCTGCTGTTGTTTAAAGTCAAATACACACAATTTATAGAGCATTGAAACAGCACAATAATAGCACTTTGAAAGGAAGAAAACCAACCGCTTCTCTCTTGCTGTGTTGTTTCTCTTCCAAATCTTGAAGAGATCCATCAAGCCGCTTCCTTTAGACAGAACCAAACTTTAACATTTCATGAATGGGCAGATACAATTATACAAGGTAAAAAGGGTACTGCCGGAGCATGTAAAAATAAAGAATAACAGAGGAAGTACATTTGATTACAACTCTGCAAAGCTTGCGGTGAAGGCGAAGCACATAAAAATTCACATTATGGACAGATTTCCATAACAATTAAATCAACTTAGCTCATTTAGGCATTCTAGTTGGTTTTCAAATTCTGGTTTGGGAACCACATTTGAAAGCAACTAATTTACATTCTAAACTTATAATCCAAACACCACTGACCACACCTTTGTACCCAGCAAAAATAATACTATAAATGATTTCTTAGACAAGATAAACTATCCACAATATCCTTTAGCAACAAAACAAAGGTTAAAGGAAAAATGTGAAACGAATCTTACAATTCAGCAGAGATGTATTCGATTCTCTTACGAACATTGGCATTAGCCTCTGCTAAATCTTGTTTAACAAGCACTGGACCGATCAACTTGTACACATTTGCATCCTCGTTTAATAAATCCAACTCCTAAGAACATTTTCAACAAAAGAAAATAATCATAAAAAGACATTTCAAGGCCAATTTATTAATCAACCAATTAAATCGGCACAATAACGAAAACACATCGAAACCTTGAGGACTAACTCGTTCTCTCCCAACTGAATAGTGTATTTCTTCCTGACTTGATGATTCTTCGCTATATCTGGCGACACCGTTCAATTAATACTTTAATAATAAAAAAAGCTACAGGGTTCCTTAATCGTAATATTTGAAAGCAAATAGGGATTGAGTGCAGAAGACGATGATAATGGGTTGGTTAGGCTTGCCTTTTTGGAGTTTGCTAAGATCGTTAGCTTTGTTTTCGAGGTCCCGCTGCAGTTCTCGAAGAGCTGTGGAGAGGAACTCATTCTTCTTTTGCTGCTTTGTTATTCCAGGATCTAGCCGATTACCTACCTATTCTGAGCTTTGATCGACAGAAGCCGTGCTGAATAATTGAAAGGCCTATTTGGGCCGTACTTCGGATTGGATAACTCAATGTCCTACAATAATCCTTAATTTATTTGGGCCTTCTAGTATCATATTCACATCTGTAATTAATTGATATAATGTTAAAATGTTTCTATAGCTTAATTAAATAATTATTTTGATAGGTTAATTCAAGTGATAAATAGTTTGATATCACTTAATTATGTCTTAAATTTGAGTTCTTTATTATGTCAAAAATTTCTGCTGAGAGACTCACCCACCACGAGTCAATTCGAATTTATTAGGACAATCGAAAAAATAATTATTTTGATCATTATACTTTTAAAATAATTTATCTTTTAATATTTTATTATAAAAAATAAATTATTTGACTAAATAATTATTTTTTGCTTTTAAATATTTTATTAAAAAATTAATTCAAATATAATTGATTTTTAAAGTGTATCAAGTAAATATATCATAGTATTGTAAAATTAATTTTTTTAACTGATATTGTATAAAATTTAAAATAATTAAGCATAATAACTCATTAAGTGAGTTTAACGATTAAAAGGAATATTATTTTTTTCTAAAAAATTTGTGTTTAATAAATTATATCAACCAAAAATTTGTTATCAATTATTTAAAAAATTAAAAACATTATTCTAAATTATTAAAAAATTTGAGCATAAAGGCACAAATTGAAATCGAGTGAATTGATTTATTGAAACGTAACTTTCCAAAATTTTATCTAATTAATATGTCTGGGCCTGGTTGTTCTTGTGGTCCAAACCAAAACCAGTTGTAGTAACGGCTGTCCAGCCAAGTTGAAATCCAACAGATTCAAATGCCCCCTTCACGCTCTCAAAGGGCGCGTCCCTTCTCAACCCTGACTGACAGCCTCCCTCCACGGTTGGGCGTTGACCATTATATGTTGTCATTCCTTCAAATGAAGTTTTAATCATATTTTTTGTGTGTGTGGTTCTAACATGGACATGAGATCTCATTCCTCGTCTTTGAATTTACAACATTTCTCCACTGCGGGACTCTCTCGGTTCCCTAAACGACACGCATTTGTCCCCGCTTTATTTCGCCTCCCACGCCTTTCATCATCTCGGTTTCGCGCTGCTGCATTAATTTTCTACTCTCCTCTCAAATTACACTTAAAACGATCCCGATATGTACATAAGCAGAGTCCACAATTCCGTCCACACGTCGTTAAGGTTAACGCAACCAATGATGATGTAAGTAATAACATTCTGCTTCTCAATGTGGGTTTCGAAATGGTTTTTTTTTTTAGTAATTTTATGATTTGGAATTTATTTATATTTTCTAGGACTCAATGGGGATTACTTCTTTGATGAATGGGTGGTTGATGATTCGGTGGCAGCATATGTGTTTTCTTCATCTAGTGATGGGGAATATAGCGATGGGGAAATCGTGTTAAACCCTTTGGCTGAGGTGGATTTGCCTCCAGTCTCAGCTGATGATTCTGTAACCATGAGGTCCTTGACTTCCCGTCGGTATTCTTTGATTGGAAGAAGCCCAAAAAAAACACAGGCAAGCTCTTTTACAAATTTCCTGACAGAATGAGCTTCAAATATTTAGTATTTTGATAAACAAATTAATTGTTTTGCGGGAGGCTTCATGAATTAATACACTTTCCAAGGCCTCTTTTTATGGTTTGCCTAAATCAATTTCAGGATAAACGTTGGGCTGTTAAACAACATGGGTATCATAATCTTCCTGACAATGGTTATTTTACTTGTTGATTGGTGCGGATGGAAAATTGTGAGGCTACCCTTGGCACCGTTTTACTTGACCTCCCCATTTTTCATATCTTTGGTCTTAGCAGCAGGTGCAGGTTACATTTGTATACCATATCTTAAGACTCTTGAGTTCCATCAAATAATTAGGAAAGAAGGTCCAGCAAATCATTCGAAAAAGCAGAGGACCCGACCATGGGTGGACTTTTCTTTCTACCAGTTGGTGTATTTGTTGCAAACTTTGTTACTGGTTTCTCGTCTGTTGAAGTTGCTGCTGCAGCAGCAGCAACCTTAGCTTTTGCTATGATTGGATTGATTGATGATGTCTTATGTGTCATTAAGCAACACAGCAGTGGCTTTTCTCCACGTTTAAGACTATTTTGGAGGTAGCTACATTTTTGCTTGCCTCTTCGGCTCTTTCTTTGATCATTTATGGTTCATCCTTGTTGCCACATAAGTTTATTTTTATCCCAGTTGTTCCACTAATGTCCAACTGTTTATCATTGTAGGCTGCTGTTGGGATTTGGTTTTCATTTTGGTTGAATGCTACAACTTTGTCATCACCCTATGGCATGTATATCTTCTTGTAACTAATCTTATCACATTTATTTATCTTGTGGTAACTTGCGTTCCTTTTCTTGTGCCAGAGGATTTGAAAAAAAAATCTAGTTTAGTTAATTTGCTATTTGAAAAAAATATAGGTTCTCCTGATCTTATTGAAGTTCTCTGATGGAAAACCATGTTATACATTCCGTTCTTTATATAAGACTATTTTAAAAATACAGACCCTTCTAGTGACGGAGAAATATCAATATAACAGCTGTTAGGCAGAACTTTAGCACTTAGGTGGCTGAATCTCAATATGTGTGTTTCAGCTCTCACTCTCTCTGTCAGATTATCCTTTTTCTTTCGGTCAAGAAGTCTTTTATTAGTGATGGCTCAATTGTTCTGTTTGCTTTCCCCAGACCATTTTATTACTTCTTAATGCAGGAAAATGCTGGTTCCTCTACCTGCACCACTGGGCATTGTGTGCTTTGGAAAATTTTACCTATTGTTGACTCCATTTTGTTTTGTTTCCATGGGAAATGGGGTTAACTTAACTGATGGTCTTGATGGTCTGGCTGGAGGGACTGCTGCATTAGCCTTTATTGGAATGTCAATTGCAGTGCTTCCAATATGCCCCGGTTAGTATGAATTTGGTTTTCAACACGTAATATTATTAGTTGGAAGAAAGGAGCGAAATTTTCTTTGTTCTCGGGATTGAGCTGCATAGCTTTTTTGTGACCACACTAACTCTAAAGTTTACCTATGGGTCACTGCAACAATAACATCTCTTAAGTCACATGATTGCACTATCAAGCTGCTTCATCTGAATGATATATGCAAAACATATTTTAAAGCTTACTCTTGGAATCTTGTTGATGTTGTTTTGGCCTCTTCCTTTTTCTTCCATCTTAATATTAGAATGCTATTGTCGCAATGGCCAAATCTTCCATCTTAGTGAAACACTAAGGCTCTGTTTGGTATGAAGGATAGAAAAACTTATGGATGGAAAATTTGTTAATCTTATGATTAAGCTTCTATCAACCATTTGGTTATCAAATTTTCCATCCTTCATACCAAGGAGAGCCTAAAATTTTGTTTTGAATTTAATCTTTTTTTAATGCCTTTTCAAGTATTTACCTTATGTCATTTGATAAAATCCTTATTCAACACATGATATGTTTGATATGAGTATTATTTTTTCCTTGTGTTTGAGTACATGAGTGGCAATAAACCAACTTCATTGGGTAATTTGTAGCCGCTCACATGACTTAATATGAACAAAGAGAATGAATATATTTTGCTCATTTTGAAGAGGCTTTATTTTTTACTTGAGTTTTTACTCGTCTTTCTAATTCCAAGTTCAGATTTGTACTAATTTTTCTTTGCCATGCTATAATCAAGTCTTTTCCTTATGTTACATAACAGACATAACATAAATGTTATTTTCAATCCCAATCAGAACTTGCTATATTTGGAGCATCAATGGCCGGTGCCTGTGTGGTTTTCTTTTGCACAACCAGCACAAAGCATCTGTATTTATGGGTGATACAGGATCCTTGGCCCTTGGTGGTGCTTTAGCTGCAATGGCTGCGTGTACAGGAATGTTCTTTCCCTTAATAATTTCTTCTGGTATCTTTGTATTTGAAGCATCATCGGTCATTCTGCAGGTATAGTCAGTTAATTATCTGATTATGTCCAATTTCGTTGAAAATCTTTCAAATTCGATTAAACTTTGCATCTTATATATTAGTCTCAGTTGCTTCTAATAGTTCATTCATGACTCAATATTAATACCGACTGTATGCTGCCCGCTTTCTCAGACATCATAACTGACTTCTGTTGTTTGTTAGTTGTTATACTTCAAAATAACAAAGCACATGCATGGAAGTGGGCGGCGCTTGTTTAGAATGGCACCTTTCCATCACCATCTGGAATTAAGCGGGCACAAAGAACCAATGATTGTCGCTGGCGCATATGCCGTATCCTGTGTGTGGCTTTATTTGCAGGTTACATGGGCCTTATATCGGTATAATGTCTGTCATCATTTGCATCCATCTCCATTTTGTTTCACTTAGTTATAGTCATAATAGGTCTTCTCTTTTCATTCGCTCCGTTTTTGTGTTGACACTGTTGTGCTATGTTACTCGAACTTTAGATATGAACGTCAGGTATGGATGCATCTGACGCGAGTATGGCCATTCCTTTTAAAGATTTTCTCTTGTAGTTGAAAGGCCATATCTCTATAATTCACGTCCGAAAGAATTGTCGGACACAGATTTGGAAAAACGAATAATAAAGAGAGCAACATAGCCATAGTGGTTTAGGAGATGTAGGAATTGGTTCATGTAGTTGAATCCATTTTAAATTATTTCATAAATCTAAGATTTCAACAAGTATAGGTGTCTTGGCCTTTTCCCCCTCTAACTTATGCATGTGAATTCAAGCGTAAGCGTTCCTGCTTGCTGGTATAAGTTTTATTGATATGAAAGGATTACAAATGAATGAAAATGAAAATTTCTAAAGTAGAAAATAATAATGAATATTAACTATTATTTTTTTATTCTTACATTTTCTAAAACATTGCTGGTATACAAAAAGTTATTGAAATTCCTTTCATGTCAATTTCTAATTTTAAATTGCTGGAATGACCACTCCGCATACTCAATAATTCATGAGTTTACAAAATGTTATGTGTTGGTTTCTTTTTATCCCATCATTAAAAGATTAAATGTAATGCTGGTGTGTCACTACTCACTATAAGATAATGTCACGCCATCATTGAATTTTTTTTAAAAAAAAATATAACACTTGCAATTTTGTTAATCTTTTAACTGTATGTGATCAAAATGAAACTAAAATATAATGTTAGGTATGATTTTAAAAGAATTATAGTTTAGTGACCAAAACAAAAAGCAAGAGATAGGTGGTGTACTAACCATGTAGTTTACCCAACTAAAAAGGAATGCTCAATAGCCAGCTTTACCTGGAGTATTATCTGAATTCAAATAAGCTGACAATGCACGTCAACACCCACTTTTTCTTTTAGCAGACATTTGACATTTCCTTCCTTCCGCCGTCCTATATATCCCTGTCCTTCCTCTTTGCATTGCTTTCTATCCATCGCCTTCACATGGGAATGTCTCAGGAAAGACGGGTTAATATACGGTTAATATACAGCATTACCGGATATATTAAAATGTATTTAATAAATTCGGTTTAGCGGTACCTATTATGTTGACAACTAATAATGTTTTAGGTAGAAAATATGAAAAACTATTAAAAATTTGGTAACCGGTAAACTTTGGTTATCGGTAAGTATCTATCCTTTTTATAAAAGTGTCCATACGTTTAACATATCAAGTAAATTTTACCGGTTTTGTCATAATGAATCTGGTTTGTCATATTTTACCTGTTATATTGTAAATTATCTATCCTTTTTATAAAGTGTCCATACTTATTTCACTGTGAAAATATATTTATTATTATCTTTAGTTAATATTGTTAAATTTAAAATCTAAATAATATTTTATAAAATATCAAAACAATCAAATAATTTTTTGTGTAAATGAAATTATTAAATTAATATTGTAGGTGGAAAACATGAAACACTATTAAAAAAATTGAAACAT